CCTGTAAGAATACAACGTATTGTATCACTAGGTATTGCCAGCTAATATTTCAGAGCTATAATATGTTGAAGTTAATGTTCAGGCTTTAAAACAGGTGTGTGTCAATTAACCATACCTAGGCAAACTGCTGGTCTCCTGATCCCTGAAGTGCCTACTTTAAATATTATTCCTTGCTCTTCAATTGCAGTCTTTGTCGCTATGTCTTAAAACTTATAATGCATGGATTTTTTTAATGTTTGACTTAAATTACATCCAAGATCCTTCATGGTCAGATAAGTACTGATAGAGGATGAGAACTATATTGCTCTAGAAGACAATGTAATGAATAATGTGAATGAGTCCTCTACTCTATGGTTTATGGAGAGGCTTAAATGCCATGCTAATAAAAATGTTATTACTATGGCCAAAGGCAATGCCTCCCAATAAAACTGGGAAAAGATTAAGAATCTTCTGATGAATGTTTGGCAGAATAATAATAATAACTTGGATCCTCCAAGTTGACTGTGTTATTAAAATGATGTTTTCTACTAATTTCTTTTCTGTTTTAATAGCAGATCGTGATGACCTTGGATCAAGAATCCAGTGAATGAAAGATAGAATTCCCCAATTTTTTTTTAATTAAGAAAGGGGGAATATGTGGGGGGCTGACTAGCATGTGACTGTGTCTTATTCCCCTGCTGCCCAGTGTGGCATTAGGGGTCACGCTGTGATCTGGATAGCCCAGTCTTCTAGGGTGTGAGCAACTGTGTCCTCTTGCATGGGCGTGCCTTCCTACATCCCCATGGGTGGAGCTATGCTCACCTGTTTCTTTGTAATGTTACTTCTTGCCCTGTTGGGGATAGAATGTTCCATGGAAACACCCTTTGTGTGTCCCCTTCTCTTACTCTGCCCTTGGGTGTGGCCTACCTATATGTCAGTCAATCTGCTGACAGCAGAAATTAGGACGCTAGACTCAGCCCTCTGAAACCTGACCCCTTGCCTCTTTTGAATAGCTTCTCCTCAATAAAAGGGGTCAGCTCCTGTGCTCGCTCTCTCTCTCTCTCTCTCTCTCTGCGGACCCTTAAGGTCAGAGGAGCCATTACAGTGACCCCAAAGGAAAAAGATATTTCTGTCTTTTGTGTGGTTATTTCACACAGCCCAGTTATCCCAGTTCCCCTGGAGTGACCCCTGAGTGTTTTAGTCCTGTGCAACCTGACAAACATGAGGAGCCACTCTGAATGATTTGCATCTTCCATCCTGGAGTGAAGAGGCTTTGACCCTCACTACATCTGTAGTGACCTGGACATTGCCCCAGTCTGGAAGTTGATGGCATGTCTTCAGATGAAGGGGGCACTCCCCAGTTACACTCACCTGACCCTTATAACCCTGCCCCTTCTGACCTTTGTTGTATGGAACTTTCTAAGAATAAGGGTCCCCCCAATAAAAGCCTACTTCTGAACATGCTCACTCTCTCTCACCAGCCTTTGGTGACTTTCTCTTGCTCTCCATTTAGGGAGCCTGAGACAGAGAGCTGAGAAGCCTTCCTGAAGCTTGGTTAAAAGTAAAGTGTATGTCTGTGTTTTATTTGGTGTCCCTGGAAATTTACAGAGTGACCTTAAGTTCAGCTGCCCACGCAGGTCAGGGACAGCAGTTTAACATTATAGACTGAACTTGTATTTTTCAAATTATTGGTGAGTTTTAGCAATTATGTTTATTGACTACTGGGATTTTCTCTTTGGTTAATAGTCTTCTTATCCTTTGCCCAACTTTCTGTTGATTCATTCATTCATTCTTTGACAATGTGATATCATCAGACACTTAGCCTAATGTCTTCCTTGTGGTTTTCAACAATTTTCCTGAGCTACACACTTCTTTTGCCTTTTTCCTAGTACAAAGAAATCTCAAATTTTATGCAGATTCTCTTTTTGTCCTCTGGATTTTCTGACTTGCTCAGACTTCTTCCCATACAAATCATCTTTCTTTCTTAAAGGATTTTTAAAATATATTTTTAGTTGTAGATGGACAAAATAACTTTATTTTGTTTATTTATTTCTATATGGTGCTAAGGATTGAACCCAGTGCCTCACACTTGTTAGGCAAGTGCTCTACCACTAAGCCACAACCCCAGCCCACAAATCATTTTAACACACCTATTGAAGCATGTTCACATACCACCAAATTTGTTCATTGTAAGAAAAATAGAATTATTTTAGTACATACATTAATAAATTGTGCATCTCTCTCCAGAATCTAGGAAGTTCCTATCAGTCACAACATTCCTGCTTACAGTTCATTTCTACTCCTGCCCCATGTGCTACCCACCCTCTAATCTACTTCCTGTGTTTACAAATTGATATTTTCTAGACATGGAACAAAATTGAATTTCATATTATGGAGATTTTGTGTCTGGTTTCTTTTACTTAGTCTAATTTTTGGAAGTTTGTCAGTTTTGTACCTAGTATAATCATTTTGTTCTTTTTTATTGAACTGTATTTTGATTGTTGAATGATATCATTGACCATCCATTTACTAGTTGTCAGGTATTTGGATTTTTTTCTAGTTGGGGGCATTATATCCAATGCTGCTCTCACTGGCCCACCTATCTTTATGAGAACATGTTTTGAGTTCTCTTGGATGGATTCAAAGGAGTGGATTTACTGGATCATGTGGCAAACAGGTGTTTAACTTTTTATGAAATTGCCATTTGTTTTACCACGGTAGTTGTAACATAATCCATCCCAATTAGCAAGGCAACAAAAAAGACTTTAGACATTTTACTTTCCACCACATTTACTGTTATTATGAAAATGATAGGTATAATAATATGTTTTAAATGTTTTCTACTTTCCATATTTATTTCAATTTTTATTTACCAGATATTCATTTTGTTAAAGAGTTTGGAGTATACTCTACTGATGTGAAATACTCCTTTTATTTTTAACTAAATCTCTACTGTTATAGCTACAGAGCTACACGAATATTTAATCAACACTGTGTCTGTTAAAGTAGATGTATAATATGTCCTAGCATTTTATAAAGCCCCTCCTTTATAATTATCTTTTTCAAATATCTCTTTGGAAAACTTATTTTTTCTTATAAAATTACATATGAGTATCTTCAGTTCTAAAAACAAATAATCTTTTTTGAATTTTTTGTTTGTTTCATTAGTAGATGGTACTTAGTACTCAATATGTCTAAAAAAAGAAAAAGGAAAACATTCAAATCCATTCAAGAATGGGTACAGGGGCACACACCTATAATCCCCCTTTTACATGGGAGACTGAGACAGACAGATCACAAGTTCAAGGCCAGCCTCAGCAAAATAGTCAGTTCATGTTGAAAAATAAAAAGTTATAAAAAGGGCTGAGCATGAAACTCACTGGGTAAAAGCCCCTGGGTTCAATCCCCAGGGCCAAAAATAAAGCTTAAATAAACAACAACCAAACAGGAATCAACAGGCCTTCCTGAGGAAATTAACTAAAAACACTAGCAAAATAATGGTATCAGAAACTGTCAATTCCCCACCCTAAAATAATTCTTTCCTACCCAACCCCACAGTCTTTTCTTTGGACGTGTGCATCTGGCCCACTCCACAAACACTGAACTATGGGTTGTTTGGCTGCCCCTGTGATCACATGGTCTGTCTTCCCATGTGTGAGGAAGGAGTCTGGGATGCCTGGGAGAAGTGCAACTGCTCCATCCAAGAGCACACAGGAGGAGACAGTTTCTGTTTCACGTCTTTAGGAGCTATTGCGAGAGAACATGAAGCCTAAATCTGCTGCAGGTGTCCTCCTGTCATCTCAGGAAGGCTGACATGCTGTGACACAGAGATGAAGTTACAGGATGATGCAGATGCCACTGACCAACTGAACTGCGCAGCCCTGCATCCAGCTGCTTTGCCTGATCATGAGTTAAAGAAAAATACAACCAATTACATTGGATTTCCTGCTATTCTCAGTACAAAGAACTGTCACTGAAATACGTATGTAATAGATTTTAATTCTACCTTATAATTTACATTTCACATCTCCAATAGAATGAGACAAATTATATCTTCATCTGAGGAAACAAAATAAGAGTAAAGTTACAGTTCTGGCATCAACTAGAACAGGTATCACTATCAACTTAGCAACATCTTATAGGAAAATCTGCTTTGCATAAATACTATGCAATAGAACTTACAATAAAATATACATCATATAAATTTTAAATTTGCTTGAAAATCAAAGGTATTTCTGACAGTGGAAAACTTGTGTCCAAATGATTATTACTTTGAAATAAACTTCTGAATTGATTATTTGCATTATGACTTGACTTACATTTGAACTGGCTCTTCAGAGGCAACACAAGAGTAGAAACCCCCAAATCCGTCAATTAAAAGACTTTCTCAGAAACCCATTTGCCTCTTTTATAATAGAATATAAGTGAAATCTATGAATACATCCATACACTGGTATTCGATTACAGTAATACTGTGTTTTAGGTATAAGTAAAATTTGAAAAAAAAATGTTTGATTTACTTTTCCTATTTGTAAATTTACTTATTTCCCATTGTTACATTTGTTTAAATTGTTTAGTCTATGCTGAATTTTTAGGCGTTGCCTTTTTAATTTTTTGATTTTACATTGATAAGTTAAAATCATAGTTATGGTCTATAGCCTGATGTTTGATTGATGTATACATTGGTGAATACCTAAATCAACCAAACTAAACTTATGTATTACCCTACATGCATAAAACATACAAATGAAAATACAGTTGTATTGTGAAGTAACGATCCCTTTCTTTTTTCTATTGTTTATTCCTTAAAACTGCATAAACCAGCTGGGAATGGTGGTATATACCTATATTTCCAGTGACTTGGGAGGCTGAGCCAGGAGGACTACAATTTCCTTTAAGGCCAGCCTCAACAACCTGGTCTCATAACAAACAAACAAAAAAATACAATGGCTTGGTATGTAGCTCAGTGCTAGAGTAACCCTGGATTCAAACCCCAGTACCATAATAAAACAAACAAGAAATTCTGTGAAGCAGAGGATTTTCACCCCCATGTTTATTTGAAAAGAAATGGAATAAAGTAAAGTGGCACAAAGTGATTTCAGACTCATGGGAGTCATGAAGGTTTGAAGAAAAATGGGTCAGGGGAAAATGAAGACAAGTTCAGCATGGTATCTGTACTGGGGCTTTCAGGTCAGGGCTAAGGGCTCAGGAGGCCAGCAGGGAGGACATGTTCTTTGGGGTCACTGAACCAGGAACGACCAAGTCCTGAGAAAGCCCTGTCTCTGTGGAAGAAGGAGAGCCAAGTAGGAGCCTTTCATGACTTGGGGAGGCAGGACATGGGTCCTTCCTTCAGTGTTGTCACCTTCTCTTCAGCTCAGGAGTCCTGCAGAAGGCAGAGGACAGTGTTGTTTCAGTCCTAATGTTGCAAATGGCTCCCTTTCCCCCTCAGGGTCTATCACGACAGCATTGAACAAAACAAATTATCAATTCTCCATGCCGAAGCTCTTTCAGAGCCCAGGCCTTTCATTAAGTGGAAAGAAGGTTTAGTGCACACTGCCTGATCAGAAAATCGAATCCAAAATCTTTCTCAGTATTTCTGTCTCGGGTCCTACCTTCTGCTGTAGGGAAAGCAAATCCATCTCTGAGAGAGGATTAAAGGACCTCACCTGTTGGCTGAAGTCCAGAGCGTCCTAGGAAAGAGAAGAGGAGATGGATACTTAAAGACCTGGAGGCAAATCTGACCCCAAACACCATATCCCCAGCCTCAGATCTGCCACCTTTGATTCCTTCAACACCACAGCCCACATCAGCCAAGGCAGAGAGGGGAGCACAAGCTGACAATATGTGACCAGGAAGCTTCTGTCACACAAATCCAATGGTTACTGGCTCTTCCTTCATTTGCTCAAGGTACTTGACCCATACCTCTACTCTGGTTAGCCTTCCATACCCATATAGGCCACAACCCTCTAGGTTTTGACATAGTAACCACAGACATTGACTTCTGAATTTCCAGGCTATCTGAGATCACATGAAAAAAAGGTTCAGACAGGACCACTGACATAAGAACTGACCTCAGCAAGGTCCTATTTCTTTTCCCAGAAAAGCTATGGAGACTCAGCTCCAGCAGGCTCCTTACCCTTCTGATTCTTGTAGTAGATGAACATCCCCAGCACAAGAAATAGCGAACCCAGCACAAAGCCACCCACTCCACTCAGCATCTTGCTCTGTGCAGATCCAGACTGAGCCCCTGAGAGAAGAAGCCAGATTTAGCAATTCCCCACCCCCAATACAACTTTCCTCATTGAGACACTGAGATTCAGAGCTCTAAGACTGGGGAAGAAGCCTGAACTACAGGAACTATAACTAGTCATTCCCAGAAAATTAAATTCTTCATGCATTTAATTCATTAAAATATCCCAGCACTGAATAACACCTGATGTAGGAACTGTGTTAGTGGCCTATCGAGGGTGATGAAGCTAATGAATGATTGGACTCCTGGATGTCAGAAAGGGCTTCAGGTTCCTTTTCTTCACAGATTATGTAATGAATGACCCAGAGATTCAGCCTAGATACACAGGTCCAGACCAGAGAGGCAGGATCTGGAGACAGGGCAATCGGGCTGACCATGCCCTGAGACAGCACGGAAAGGTAAAAACCAGGTAGAGCTTCTCTTTTGTCATTGTTCCCTAGGGGGTACAGGTGTTAGAAACTATAACAGGTGTTAGAAACTATCACAAAGCTATACCCATGACTCAGTACATGAAAACACAGGGCAGGGAGAGGAGAAACCTGACACTCAGGATAAACTAATTCCTTCCTGGTGGGTGAGGA